TTTTGATATTTTTTAGGAAGACTATAAAATATTAGTAAAATTTAAATACTAAATTTAATAAAAATTAAAATTAAAAAAAAAAAATAACTAAAATACTACAATAATAGTAAATTAATTAGTAAATAAAATAAGTATTAAAACATCACAAATAAGTATTAGTATTAAAATACTACATTATTTTTTTAAATGTATTATTCCAAAAAATTTTAAAAAATTTTCTACAAAATGGGTCAATATTGTGTGATGTGATAATCTAGTTTACTCTAGAAGTAAAACTAAAATCTGAAAGAAATTGTATAAAGAGAATTTTGTAACAAAAGTTCATAATACAAATCTATACCACAGAAAATTGTTACATCTGGGGGGAAAAATATAAAAACATATTTCTTGAAAACTTTTTCTTGAAGTAAAATAATGTTATGAACTAATCGCAAATACAAGATAGTTATCGCTTAAAATGTAAATAGTTTTTATCAGAATACTTTTTTTAGAATGGTTTATGCATGTCAAGGGAAACATCTCAACTCTTCACATAAGATAACGAAAAGGAGTGCTTCTGTATCTACCACTTAGAAACCTTACTATGACTTTCCGCAGCCCGGGCTAGCTCAGTCGGTAGAGCACGAGACTCTTAATCTCGGGGTCGGGTCTGAGCCCCACGTTGGGCGGGTGTTATTTTTTTTACCAGAATTCATTATTATAATACGTGCAGATATCATAAAAAAAAAAAGTTAGTTCATGTTCTTCGAAATTGAAAATTATGCTTTTTCCGGTATATATATTATTCGAATTACAAAAGCTAACAATTAAAATCTTTTGTTGATGAAGAAAAATTAATGTAAAAATCATTATAAATAATGTAGAAAAATTACCGTGGAACACAGATGGTGAGTAATTTTTTAAAAGAAGTCATCTAAAAGAATAATTATAAATTTTTAATTAATCACTATTTGAATAACTAACAATTATTGATACGCTTTCACTTAAAGACAAAGTAAATATGTATATATATATGTTTTTGTTTGCATTAACTAATATTTCTAAGAATTAAAATTTGAAGTGATGGTGATATTTTAAAAATTTTTTATAAATTTTTTTCTTAGTTTTGATTTTTAATAAATGTTTGTAAATAAGCAATATAAATTAATACTTTTAATCAATTCAGTTATAAAGAAATCACTAATTGTGATTTAATTATTAAAGTAAAGTAACTAAAGTATTAAAGCGTTAATAATTTTTTTTTTTTTAAATTAGAATTAAAAGACACTCTTGATTTACGACAGTCATTACAATAGAACTCTGTTTTTGAAAAAAATTTATTGTTGTAATATAAAATTTTTAATAATTATTTTTATAAATTTTTTTTCCTCGAAAAATTATAATAATTATGAATTAGAATACAATTCTAAGGTAGTTAATGACAAGACAAAAAAAAAGAAAATAACTAATTTTTGCCCTCTAAATTAAAAAAAATAGTAATAATATTTTGTAACTTTCTTTTTAAAATTAACAAAGAAATATATGTGAAAGAAAAAACAAACACTTAGTATATATAAATATATATGTGTCATTAAAAATGTGATAAAAAACACTTTCTAATTACAACACGTATTCTCTTTTCTTAATACAGGAGAACAAAGGCTTTTAATTTATTCACATATACAACATTTATTTAGAACAATATTTTTTCTTTCACACAATATAAGGTGAAAAATAAGAAATGCTCAAATAATCAGGAATAAGACAATTTATAAAAATGCTACTTGTAATTGATCTTTCTTAATTAAATAAAAAATTTAAAATGAAAATTTAAATGAAGCCTTGTATAATCAGCTCTTATATAATTCATAAATTGAGTAAACTACTATTATTTAAGAAAAACCCATTGTATATTAAAGGTGGTGTCTCCCTCGTTTTTGAAAACGAGATTCGTACCTGGCCTGTTTTCCTGTTTGCTAACTGGGCAAGCTATCACTAAGCCACGAATTAAGCTTGTATTAATGTTAATTAATAAATTTCAAGAAGTGGCAACAACTAATAAATGTTGAATAAATTCGTTTCTTGAAAGAAAATGGTTTCTCGAAAAGCTACGCAGCATTCAGCTGAATTATTGTGAATTTTCAAATTGTGTAATAAAGTAAATTATATTTTATCTCACTAAAGAAGTCGACTTCAAATATAAAGGTAAGTGCAACATTTCCTTTCATGCATTTAATGTACGCTTGAAAAAGAGGAAGGAGGAGAGACAAAAAGAAACAAAACTTCGTATTTTAAAGTATTTTTTAAATATATTTTAGGATTCGGAATTTCGTCAAATCGCGTATTAAAAACTCTTGTAAATCTGATGGGGAAAATAAAAAGAGATATATAAACTCATATTTATTTACCCTCTTTATGATGAATATATATATTTAAATTTAGATTTATGTAGATCAAATTAGATTTTAATTCAGATCAAAAATAAGACTTTTCTGAATCATTTAATTTTCAGACTGTCGATTCGAATTGATCCAAATCCGTCAATATAGCATTATTTGTTTTCAATAAAGCAAAAATAACTAGGCAATTAATTATTAGAATATTATATGATTGGAATTATTTTAAACCATATGGTTAGAATTATTTTAAATCATATGATTAGAATTATTTTAAATCATATGATTAGAATTATTTTTAAATCATATGATTAGAATTATTTTAACTCATATGATTAGAACTATTTAAACTCATATGATTAGAATTACTTTAAATCATATGATTAGAATTATTTTAAATCATATGATTAGAATTATTTTAAATCACATGATTAGAATTATTTAAAGAAAAATAAATTGTTGATTCTTCCAACATTAAAGGAAAAAAAAAAAAAAATTAAAACAGAGGTATATTAAAAAACAAAAATTTAAAGATCATAACCCTTTAAGTAAGTCTAAAAAAAAAAAAATGAAAATATTCAAAGTTTAACTTTAGTTTTTTCCTCCTTCAAATGCTGCAAAAGATAACACCCTGGCAGCGGTGGGATTCGAACCCACGCCTCCGAGGAGACTGGTGCCTTAAACCAGCGCCTTAGACCGCTCGGCCACGCTACCTTGTTTAGTTTCCATTAGCAATCCTTAAATGCAAAATAAACAAGGTCATTAATTTAAATGGATTGGATTAAAAAAAGAATAAGATTGAAAGATATACCAGTTTTTCATTTAAGATATTTTCCCTCTAATAGGATTTCAAGGTTTATATTTTTATTAGTTGCAATTCATTCACGTTCGCCCTTATTTTCAACTCTCATTATATTTTCGATATTATATGACCCTTAAAAATATTTGTATTTATAATTCATAAGATAATTTTTATATTTAGATAATCTAAAAAAAAATATATATATATATATGACATATTTTATAATATATATTATTTATAATTAATTTTATAAATATATATAACATATGACATATTTTTTAAAATCAAAGCAGTTTTTTATTTTGCTTTAAATAAGGAAAAATACAAAAATATTTACAAATAATGTACTTTTATCAATTTTTTTCAAAGCAAATTGATTTTATCGAAACTAAAATTCATGACTTATACAGAGAAAGAAAATGTTTATTTTCAATTGAATACTATAAGTCATAATTACTGTGTTAAAAAATCGGATCTATATGTATTATGAGAAATTCCTCTTATTTACAACTGAAACAGATGTATTCAAATGAATTATGAAAGGGTTATAAAAACCTATTCTTTATTAATTTATTACTTATTTTTTATTATTATTATTTTAATTTTTAATTTTCATTTATTTATTTTACTTTTTTTTTTTGCAGTGGTAATATTCCTATGGTTATCAGTTGTTCCATTTTTTAAAATATACTTTTGTATATATATATATTTTAAAATATAAATCTTTTTATATACTGTTGCAAATAGTCGCACGTTTATCTCAGTCAGTAGAAAATCTGAATCATGGGCTCGAGTTCCGTAATAGTCGTGCAAATTGTTTTTTTTTAAGAAATAATTGCTATTTATTTTATTTACTGTCACAAATATTATGAGAAAAAGCGATTTGCAGAACATTTTGTTAAAAAAAAAAAAAATGCCGGATCAGCATTCATTTTATTTTATTTCTGAGAACTAAAATATTTTGTTTAAAATATTTTCCGTTTTAATTCCATGTTATTGGGGATAAAAATAGTTATGTATCAAAACCTTTTAATTTATTTTACAATATTGTAATTGTTTCTTTTTGCTATGTTCTATTATAGATTTGAAAATATGACCGTTTTATTTATGAGTTCGCAAAACAATTAAATTATATTCTGCGAATTCATGATGCACGCGCAGCAATTTGCAAAAGCTGAGCGAAAGAGTGGAGAAACAAACATCGCACTCGTAAAATAAATATTTTTTAATGATTTCATTTTTTTGTAATTTTGTTTATATTTTATACACATTTTATATTTCCTTTTTTGTGTTATATATTTCTTTACAATGTGCGTTTAGTATCATTATTATTATATTATCTATGTTTGCATGCTAAAATAATAGTAAGCACAATAATAACTCATTATGTTTCAATTTTTCACTCCAAAAAAGTCTATAGTCGGTCTAAATCTATTATGGGGATATATAATTTTACGTGTGACCGCGGAGTTAGGATGCATTTCCAAAGTGGCCAGCAAGATCATTTGGGTTGGCCACCCCTGGTCTAAATCATTTTATTTTCAGACTGTAATTTTGAAATGATCCAAGACCATCCACATAGCATTATTTGTTTTCAATAAAAAAAATAACAATTATTGCTAGCAATTATATGGATTATAATTATTTTAAAAGAATAAATTGTTGATACTTTCAACATTTAGAAAAATTTAAAACAAACGTATATTAAAATAAATTTAAAGAACATAATCCTTTAAGTAAGTCATATTTAAAAAAAAAATGAAAAGCTTTAATTACGCTTAATTTTACCTTTTACTTCTTCAAATGCTGCAAAAATAACACACTGGCAGCGGTGGGAAACGAACCCACGCCCGAGGAGACTGGTGCCTTAAACCAGCGCCTTAGACCGCTCGGCCACGCTACCTTATTTAGATCTCATTAGCAAACCTTAAACGCAAAATAAACAAGGTCATTATTTTACATGAACTTGATTAAAAAAGAATGAGATTGTGTTGATATACCAGTTTTTCCTTTAAGATATTTTCCTCTGTAATAAGTTTCCAAGGTTTTATTTTATTAGTTGCGATTCATTTTCGTCAGTACATTTATTTCTGCTGTAATAATATATTATAATTATATTTTCAATATTATGTGATCACTTAGAATATTTAAGGTTATGATAATTTTATATTTTTGATACTCTGAAAAAAAATAACGTATGAATTTTTATTTAATCAGAGCAGTTTTTTATTGTGCTTCGAATAAGAAAAATTCATAAAATATTGACAATTAATGTATTTTTATCAATTATTTTTCAAAGGAAATTGATTTTATAAAGACTAAAATTTATGAATTATATTGAGTAAAAAAATGTTTTTTTTTTTTCATATGATAGTCATAATTACTAATTAAAAAAAAAAAATCGTATCAACATGTATTATAAGAAATTGTTGTTATTTATCACAACTGTAACAGATGCATCCAAATGAATTATATATAATTAAAAATTAATTTTAATAAATAAAAACTGTTATTTTTTTTACTTATTTTATTATCATTGTTATTTTAATTTTTATTTACTCATTTTATTTCGTTTTTTTTTTTTTTTTTTGCAGTGGTAATATTGTTATATGCAGTTGTTATCGGTACACATGTAGCAAAAGGTGCTTCATTTTAAAAATAAACTTTTATATAAACATAAACACATTTAAAAATATAAATCTTTTTATATATTACATTTTTAAAAATGTAAATCTTTCTCAGTCTACTATATTTTCATGTTGCAGAAATAGTCGCGCAAATCGACTAGTCGCGTAAATCGTCTATTTATTTTATTTTATTTATTTATTTTTTTGGTTCCTTTTTTTTTTTTATTATTATATTTATTATCACAAATATTATGAGAAAAAGCGTTTTGCAAACCGTTTTGTTAAAAAAAAAAAAAAAAAAAAAAAAAAAAATGCGTTGTTTTATTTCAATAATCATTTTATTTTATTCGCGAGAACTACACTATTTCGTTTAAAGACTTTCAATTTAATTTCATTTTATTGATGGTAAAAATAATTAATAATTATCAAAACCATTTAATTTATTTTGTAATACTATAATTGTTTCTTTCCGCTATGTTTTATTATAGATTTGAAAATCTATTCCCATCTTTTAGTAGTTATCTAACATGTTTTAATCGCCACTCAATTCTTTTTCTTTTATAAATGAAAATATTTTTTTATAAACTTAAGATATATTTCCATTTTAAGCTTGTGATATGCCCATTAATCATTTACGTAAAAATTTTCTCTTTATATACATTTATCTATTTACGATCTTAATTATAAACAATCGTAAAAAAAAAAAAATACTTACAGCCAAGATGTTTAATAATTACATTTATTCTTTATTTTACATAAACTCTTAAGAAGTAAAATTTTATTTACTATCTTATAAACAACATAATTAATAATGTTTTCAAGAACAATGAAGTGTAGAAGCTTAAAAATGATAGCTTTTAAAATTGATTGTCTTAAAATATTAAAACTTATAACTATTTAAATTATTAAATAAATTAAAATTATTTTAAATAAAAAGTTTTTTTTTTAAAAGTAATGAAAAGACATTAAAATGTGAGGACATTTTTAATCCTTTTACATGGTAGTCTCAAATGCACAAATTTGACCATCAAATTGCTATAAAATGATCAACAGAAATTTTATTGTCCTACTATAAACCCTATAAATATACGATGGGATAAACAATAATGTATCAAATGCTGGTGGTGTTAATTTGAAGACTAAGATTAACAAGCATAGGAAACTATAAAATATTTACTGCAAAATCATCCACGAAAGAATGAAAATTTAGTGAGAATCATGTATAAATGTAAAGATGTTATTAAAATTTAAAGTAAATAAACTGATAATTAGATTCTATGCAAACATCTTCGGAATGTTCTGATCGTTAAAGACGGATTCTTTATATCTTTTTTAATTCATTTTGAACATAAACATATGTAATTACGTAATAAAAATTACAGCTATATATATATATATATATTAGTAGATAAAAAAAAAGGTCTTACGATACATATAACCCCGACACGTGGCTTAGGTGTCAACGTGAGCAGCTAGCAAGCTTAAAAGTATTCAATTTAATAAATATATGTAATTCCAAATAAATTTCTTAATTAGAATTCTTTAATTTTATGATCTTTATCATTATTTATAATGAACGGAATATTACATTCCAGTTTAATTTATAAACATACATTTTAAAAACACGAAACAGAATTTTTCAAAGATTTCACAGATATTTAACTATTTTTTGTTAAAATTATTTTATACCAATATGAAATGATATCTAAAGAAGTAGGATTACTATTACAAAACTGGTTTGGAATCGTATTATTCATATCTAATTACAAAATATCTTGTGAGGCTAATTTTAATTTTAACTTAAATCAATACAATCGATTGAACGCATGTCTCACCAACTTCACACTGCTGAGATGGTCGCTTTTCCAGAGACCAGAGAGTATGGGAAACCAATAATAACTCCACTGCCGATTCAGTCATAACCAGGTGGGAAAACTCTATCTATATTTTCTCTCCTCCAACAATAAAGCGACATTATCTGCATAAATAACTCTTAACCATTAATCTGCCATTCCTTCAACAAGCTAAGGCATCTCTTGCTGAAAATACCAGTCGACAAAGCAGTCCAAGGCGTGACGTCTAAAGGGCCCATCGGAGCACTCTCTTCACAATGGAGAGACACCTTTTGTACAGTAGGCAGATTCACACCCGCCCCCTGAATTAGAAAGCTTTATCCTCTCTGGACAGCCTTTCATCTAGGCCGACCCCTGCTGAGAACACCCAGGTCCCAGGAGGCTTCTTCGATCCTATTGTCGTCACTGTCACCCCCTCGGAGCAGATGCGGCACCATTAAAAACTATAAATTTATCAGGTATCCTATATCATGAAAGGATAAAGGTATGGGAGGGGTTTTCTTTTTAATGCTTCTTTTCGATATTTTTATTGATGAGATGCGAAATATTGAGTCGGAAGATTTGGTGGTGATAGTTGTAATTAATGATCGAAGAGAAATTTTCGTTGCAATTCTTCATTAGAGGTTGAGCATTTTGGAAATTTTAGTAAAGGATTCTGTAGTATCTTTATTTTTGCCTCTCATTTTTCATAACGATTTAGTTTGAGTTCGAAATATATACATTTTTCAAATAAATTCTCACGTAGTTTTTACAGTAACAAGACAATATTACAAAAATTGAGACGAATATATTTTGAATAAAAAGTCTGTTAAAAATTGTATACGATACATCGTCGTATTAGACAGTATCGATTTTTAAAATTATAATTTAAGAGAAAAATATTGTTTCATTATTAACTCTGTTTAGTATAAGTTACAAGCATTATTTTAGGATATAATTTGGATATATAAGTCAAGCTATCCATCGAATTCTTGAAATATTAGAATAATTAGCATGACATCATAAAGAATATCAATGATTAATAGTTATTGCATGAAAAAGGTATATAAATACTATTTGAAAATGAAACAAATTTGCGTAGTCATTTAATTTAGGGAAGTCGATTCAAAAAGAGATTTAAATTTTTTGTGATGTTAAAATATCTCACTGAACTTAAGATTGTTCGATACAAATGAAATTAAATATTTGGTACACCTAATTCGAATATTTCATAAAGTTGAAGTTTATTATTATTGATTATGCAAATTTAGTACTAATATTATTAATTAATTTTTAAACCAGAATAATAATTGAGAATAGTGTTATAGTTTAAAATGATTAATCTGACTTTTCTATATCTAATGCATCATCTCTGCAGCATGTGCTTATTATACGACGTGTGTTATAAGTTTTTTAAAAATGGAAACATGATTATTCCAATTGCCTTTGTGACAAATCCATTTTTCTATTTCATTTTTTAATACATCGGGAACTTGTTTTATTAATGTATTCCAGGAATAGTACACTGACGGAATGGTAATATTATATCGACAGGGAGAACTTTAAGGATTGCATCACATTTAATTGTTGTATGAGGGAAAATCCAGAAAACTCACCACACAGTCTGACTGAAGATGTGAAACGCTTGCATACGCTGCCACAATCGCCGCCAAGTTTCTTATTTTTTAAAACAGTGACAGCAGTGAATACCCAAAGTGGATTTGAGCCTGTGATATTTAACTGTGAACTTTGCTAGTCAATCACGAGCTGTGCACAAACGCATTTAAGGACTCAATCTTTTATTTCATGAAAGAATCCTTAATTTTGATAACAAAAAAATAAATAAATAAATAAATAAAAAATCAGATAGAATGTTTATTGAATCAAAAATATAAGACATTAGATTTGAATATTAATTTAATATAGATTTAAAAATGTTATGTACCTTAATACCCGTTATTTAAATATAGTATATGCGTATGGAGTACATTTGAGGGTTTAACACCAAAAGAATATCTAACATAAAGGGTGATTATTACTGAAGTTTGTTTTTGAAAAGACCTAAAAAAAAAAACAAACAAACAAACCAAACCTGATTTTTTTACATATTGGTTTAATATATTTTCATATATATTTTAAAAATATATGTTTTTATGTGACTTAGTAGCATTATTTAAATATAGTATATGCGTATGGAGTACACTCGATGGTTTGAGACCAAAAGAATATACTGGGTGATTATAATTCAAGTTCGTTTTTGAAAAGGCTGTAGAAAAAGAACCAAACCTGATTTTTCATCTGAATATGCATGAAGCATTAGGATTTTGTCTGACAAAAGGTAAAAAAATAGTTCAAAAATTGACCGATTGGTGGAGTTGTATTTCGTATCTTGCAATCTGTATCGTCAATGGAATACATTAAAAATCTCTTTTGAGCAATCAGCT